GAGAGAGAGAGAGAGAGAGAGAGAGAGAGAGAGAGAGAGAGAGAGAGAGGCAGGCAGGCAGACTTTGGCCTCCCAAGTTGCATTGTTCAAAGAATTTAAAAGATTAGGTGGGACTGTTTGGTATACTTAGTATCTAAGCCAGTGGTTCTCAACCTGTGGGTCGTGACCCCTCTGGCAAACCTCTATCTCCAAGAAAATGTTTACATTGCAGTTCCTAACAGTAGCAAAATCACCGTTATAAAGTAGCAACAAGAATCATTTTATGGCTGGGGGTCACCACAACATGAGGAACTGTATTAAATGTCTCAACATTAGGAAGATTGAAAACTACTAATAAGAAGTTTTCTTTTGGAAGTTAGGTTCATAGTGGGCTTTGGCTTTTTCTGGGAACATACTTCACAGTGTACTACACAGGTTTACAGGCTGATAAACATATGTCAGATTGGCATGGCAACACACATGCCTATGATCTCAGGTGGAGGCAGGAGGGTCAGGAGTTCAAGGTCATCCTCAGCTGCACATCAACTTAGAGCTACCCTGGTCTATATGAAGCCCTGTGTTGCTGTGGGATGTCTTTCTGATGCTGTGAATATGTGTTGCTATGATTGGTTAATAAAGAAACTGCTCTGGCCTGTGGCAAGTCAGGTTATAGCCAGGCAGGAAATCCAAGAGAGAGACAGGAAGAAGAAAGGCAGAGGTAGGGGAGACGCCAAGCTGGTATCCAAGGAGCAACATGAAATGGGACGCAGGTAAAGCCATGGAACATGTGGCGATACATAGATGTTGAATTAAGTTATACAAGCTAGGCAGTAAGAAGCCTGAGCCATAGACCATATAATTTGCAATTCATATTAAGCCTCTGAGTGATTATTTTATAAGCGGCTGTGGGACCACGGGGCTGGGTGGGACCAGAGAAACTTACAGCTACATTTTGGCGCCCAGATGTGGTAGCAAGAATTTCCACCCAAAAGCTAAGAAAGCTTTAAATAAAGATTCTAAAACAGAGCTAAAAACAGCTTCCTAGTGGTGTCTCTCAGGCCAGCTGTGATACAGAAACGCCATGGTATGAGTGTTTGCGCTAACAGTATGGTGGGTTCCTGTGTGTGGGCTTGACCTACAGCATGGCAGATTCCCGACACAGTACACAGAGGCATCTCCAAGCCGTGCAGCACACTGCATGGCAGATTTAGCTTTTGCTAGTACTGACAAAAGGTTTCTGGGCTCCATGCTGCTTGATGAAGGCACAGACCCACTGTTTCCCAGAGTTGACAGCGAGCATGGCTCCCAGAGCTGGTGGTAAATGTACCTCCACCATGTTGGGAAGCCAAACTGGGCAGAGTCAGCAGCCAGGCTGCTGTCGAGTTCATCCTAGCCACACTCCAGTTTAAAGCAGTGGTCAGAAAATGATTAGATACACAATAAAACACATTTAGATGGGAAAAAAACCTCTAAATGGGTCACACTGTTTAAAAATATACGTAGGCTTGGAAAAGAGGAAAAGGAGTATAGGCAGTTATATAAAGAAATAGTTTTAAAAAATAAAGTCTTTAAAGAGACAGAATAATACAAAAGTTAAGCCATGTAAGGATAGAAATTACACAAAGAATCTGGATATTCCATATTTTTGGAATTTTTAACTGCAGAAAGACAATTGATTGTAGGGGCTACTAAGTTAAACCAATATGTGTATTTTAAGAGTGTCTTGACATCAAAATTTGTGTCTAAGGATACTTTGCTTTGGAAAAGAGGTTCTGCTTTTGTTTCCACAGAAGATGAGAACCTATGGATTGCTTCCAGGATAATATGGTTTGATTAACCAAGACCCCCTGAAAGGTCTCTAATGACAGCCCATAGCCCAGATGATCCAACATCCAAAACGGCTTCAAAGCAACTGGCTGAGATGTTCCAGCCTCACAGACTACTACAGTCAAGATTTAACTATAATTCTGAATTTTCTCAGGATCCCCATAAGATTAACAGTGCCCTCAATCAGCAGGAAGCAGCCAAGAATACTATACCCACATTCCCCCAAAATGGATTATGGATATTTGTCTTTGTTTAGATTGGTTACAAATTGTTATTGGTCGTAGTCAATCTCTTTCTAAAAGAAGAAAAGGGGACATGATATAGAAATGTAGGATATAGATATTATAGGATAAAAGATTATTGAATCTACTTTTATAAAGCAACAAATTGAAACATTTTACATTGCTATAGATTTTAGTTTATTGATACAAATTTAAAGTTAATTTTGTTATACTATATGTATATTTCTACTCTCGTTTAAGGTATTATGTTTATGCAGTCCATTTAAAATTGTAAAATATAATTAAAAATACAGATTAATAGTCATTTATGATAATCAAACTTATAGTCATGTTAATTAAGTTTTTTAGGTATACATAGATATATTTCAATTAGATAGATAATCTTCAAATGCTTTAAAGACCTATAGAATTTAAATGTTTTTAAATTTAAAATTTTAAAATGTTTTAAGAACTTAGACTTTTCTGGACAGTGAGACATGTCTGCTCCTGGCAGCACCAATTACTTCAAAGAGGATGATGGGCATCAAAGAAACTCCATATGGAGTTTGCTTTCTTTATGGCAAAAGTAGCCATTTGGGCAAGAAACTGCTCTTGCCTGGACTGCTTTATAATATATTGTATAGACTGGACATACAGGACCCACGGGAAAATGACCACTGAATTTTGTCAAAACAAGACAAAATGGTCCTTCAGCTTCCTGCTTTGCAGAGGAGATGCCAAACCACTGTCCAAGGAGCAACATGTAATGGGAGGCAGGTAAAGCCACGGAACATGTGGTGATACACAGAGTAATAGAAATGGGTTAATTTAAGAAGAAAGCAAGAAGCCTGAGCCATAGGCCATACAGTTGGTAATTAATATAAGCCTCTGAGTGATTGTTTTTTAAGCAGCTGTGGGACCACGGCGGGTGGGGTAGGCAGAACACAGGAAAACTTACAGCTACACTGTGTCAACGAAACAAAAGTGTCAAAAGAACTCTTACTGTACTTAGTATACATGGTGACAAGGAAGTCAGGGTGCTGTTTGACTGGAACGTGGTTCCTGATCTTATTTGTGAGAGTCTCAGCCAACAGGGGTGAGGGACTCCCGTCTCCTCCCCATGTCCTCCATTTTCCTGTCTTTCTAGTCTGCCTCTGGGCTGTGAATTCTTTGTTGACCCCGCATGCATTTCCCCCCTTCTCCGCATTCTGCTGTTAATTTTCTGCTGATAGTTCACTCCTCCATCATCCCTTTCCCATAGTGGACTTCTTGTCACCTGAAGATGACAGGCACTTTCCCATCTTTCTATATTGGCTCTTATTACTGCTGGAGACAGTCCTCAGGTACACACATAGTCCTCCCTCCCAACTCTTAGAAATCTTGACTTCCAGATGTACATCCTTGCACTCCTGGCATATCTTATCTACTATCCCTGCCCATCAATTCTTTTATCTTTTGGAGACAGAATCTTACTCTGTGACTAAGGCTGGTGTCAGACTTACATAACCCTCCTACAGCTTCCCGAGGATCCCTAGGATTACAGGTGTGAGTCACCATGCCCAGCTCCTCTATCATTTTTTTTTGAGACAGGGTCTCATGCAGCACTGGCTGGCCCTGAAGTCCTGATCCTTCTGTCTCCTCTGCTGCCTAGGAAATTGTAGGTGAATGTATCACCACACCTCACTTGCACCATCT